TGTATAATTCTTGTGGCTTGTAAAATAACAAAAATGTGCAAGGCCATGATATTCAGCCATCTCATGACTGCATTTGACAGATCTGATTTTTGAAATTCTGGTGGTATGCTTTTTAAGACTGTCAAATACCCAGGCTTCACCAGTGAATACATAATCACTCATCTGTGTAGTTTCTGTTAAGTTTTAAATATTTGCTGTGCAAGGTTTTGGATGTACAAGGCCTGTTTATTGCCATTAATTCAAATAACTTTTCCTCTGAGTTTAGTGGGACAGGTGTTGAACCCAATGGGCATTTGTAGAGTGTATGTGATGCTGAGAGATACTGCCTCAGTGCATAAGATCTGGGCCATGGAAACTTGCAGTCAAACAATCTCTCCTGAGCTTCCAGCTAAGAATCTTAGGCTATGTGGCTTGTCCTTGTTGAGTCTCAGCAAGACTCAAACTAATTTATGCCGTCAAATGTAGGCTCACTCACAACAAAATGTAGGCTTGCTCACGAAGTAGAATTTTTGCTCACAAGACTCAACAACAGCTTAGGGGGAACATAAAAGCTACAGAGTAGACTGGCAGTCCACCGGAGAAGAGGGACAAAAGCAGCTAAAAGGCTTGGGTTGGTTCAGTGGCTACTGTGAATTAGGACCTTCAGTCTCACCTGAGTTTGGTACCCAAATCACCTTTATCCACCTAATAAAAGCTATTGCATGGATTTTGTCACACACCGATGTGGCTACCTGCTTTTTAAAAAAATCACCTGGTAAGTTTAAGCAGCCCATAATTTCTCACTTGTGATCCTTCCATCTGCACAGGGAAGTAAACACAATATCCCTTACAGGATTATTACCGGTGAAGCACTTTGAAACTTAAATGCTAAGTGTTGCTGCAGTTGTTAATGATAACACAGGTGGTTTGAATTTTGGCATTTGGAATCAGAATCAGAGAAAACGTTGTTTGCATATGTAGAACAAAGCTGCAACTCTTTGTTTTTCTAGGAGATCCAGTTTGTCTTGATATCAAATCTTTCTTTATTGCCAGCAAATAATGCCTTGAGTATTTCTGAAATATGCAGATAAATCCACAAAGATACAGCCACCTAGTACATAAAAAACAAGCAGATTTGTTCATCGCCAATACAGTCGATCACTGTGATTCCCCAGTGTGGTGCCCACTGGCATCTTATCTGACACCCACTTGCATGCAGCAGAAGGTGTTTCAGAATTGCCCAGGAAGTATCACTTTTGTGTCAGCATTAACACCAGTGCAGAATGATCTGCATCCTTTGTAGGAGGATACGTGGTATGGAGCCTCCCAAAATTTTGATTTGGCCTCCTTGTGGCTAGATGACCACACTTCTGGTAACATGGGGTGTGTGGTCTAATATGCTAATGAGCTGCACAGTTAGGGGAGCGTCCTAATATGCTAATGAGTTCCTGCTGGGCCTTTTCTACAAAAAGAGCCCTGGGACACACTAGAAAGCTTGGATGCTCTGTCTGTACTTCAACAGCTTTTGCTCAGATGGTTGAACAGGGCAGTGGGGATACAGATTAAATTTTCCAATGGCAGAATGGAACTTTCCTGCCTCCCCGCTTCAGTTGCAGCCCACTGATCTCCATGAAATGCTGCTCTTGAGGGATAAGGAACTTTGTGGAATGACATGAAGTGTGTCTGTAATGGGAGGGGCATCGGTCCAAATTGCCTTTTTAGCTTGGATCCATCCTAGAGACTGAATTTTAGGCAGAGACCTGTTTGCCACTTGGTCAACCCTTGCTGACCCACCTACAACAGCAGTGTTGCTGCACACCAGAAGCAGGCACCAACTCTTCTTTCTGGCAAGATGCCACTGTGGTGCAGACAGCAAGGCACCTAGGTCCTGCTTCTTAAAAAACGCTTTGCTAGCCTTGGAACCATAAAAAACGGAGACAAATGCAAAACACACTTGTCTATTTAACACTATCCAATGTGGCTCTCCAATGTCGCAGGCAGAGGTCTTCCAGCTTACCTTCTGCCACATATTCATAACAGGAGTTGCCCGGCATCAAACCTAGGACCCGCTTCAAGCCAAGCAGATGCTCCACCCAGGACCGGTGCCAGATTTTTTTGCACACTAGGCGAGGCTACCTTCTGCCACCCTGTACAGGATCCTGCCCCCACGCCTGTCCAGGAATGAGGGGAGAACTCCTGCCTTTTCACAATACAACCATGCCCAGCTCTAACACCTCTTCAGAGATGCACTCTTAAGATTTAATGGTAGCACAGCCAGCTAGGCACAAGGATTTAGCCTTGGAGTCAGGTTTACACATCAATCAGACACAACTATAAACAGAATAAAGTTTATTTAGCACAGAACTTAGCAATCAGACTAGAGAAGAT